TTACATGCCTAGCAAGCAGCATGTCACACAATGATCTTCATGCCTAAGGCCTAAGACATTGACAGCAATCCCATAATGCCTCTCTCCCATCCTCACCCAACAGCTCGCCTTCCACAGTATGAATATGCATACATTGATATTTGAGTGATATTTTGGGTACATGTTAAGCATGCTGGAAGGCGTACACCATCGGCCCTGATGGCTTCCTTCCATTAAGAAAGAAACTGCATTTTATTTATGTATATAGTTAGTACACAGAAAAAATATGAAGTATATAAAGAAAAAAAATAACTGGCACTTGAAATTAAAACCCAGGAATATAATTATTAAAAAACAATCACTGACTCCCTAGGAGGGTTTTGTGGTGATCAAAATTAAAGAATGACTGACATTTTTGTAATTTACAAAGTCACTGCTTATCCAAATTGAAAGTTATTCCAACATGAGATATATTTTAATCATATTTCATTGGTTCAAACTATCGCACATCACAGTTCAAAGAAGGTCTCAGTTCTGATCGCTACTGTATACTGTATCACTGCTGGCGTCTTTCGGGTTATAAAATCTGGAGTCTTTTTTGTGGCAACATCGCGATCACAAACACATGGCAAACACACAAACACTGTTAAACTAATAAAAAACTGAAATGTTCTCAAACTGATTACAGTTTCAATGTGTTTTATATGAATATACATAAACTGAAATTTAAGTTTACATTTTGAGCATGCTTGACCATCGGAACTGATGTTTTTCTCCCATTAAGAAAGTATCTGCATTTTGTTATTAGATTTTATAACACATGTTTTTAATGCATGTAAGTTGGTTTACAGGAAAAAAATATAATAATAAATACAGTAAGGTAATTATTTTAAAACCATCAGCGACTTATTAAAAGATTGGGGAGTTACAGTGTATCACAGTTGTGCTACATTGTATTATGAATTATAAAATCTGGCCACTGGGGTTACCGTATAATTGAATCTATTCAGATGCCCTTTCAGTATATTTTTTCGTTCTGCACGCAGGTCCTTTAGAGTATGCTCCAAGCTGGCATTCAGCTCCTGTGTCTCATCACTTATAGTGGTCTGTCCATTCAGAAGGTTACTGATGGCCTCACATTCGGCACAATTGCCATAATTCCAGGACTCCTTACCTAGGGGTTCTTTGAGTAATGATGAAAATGTAACATTTGGAAATATTTTGAGGCACAATGAACATGGTGACCGGGCTTCGTATGTATGCCTGTTATTCTCTCCCTCACTTGGAGTGCGCAGACGATAAGCTGTAGAGTACACTGTATCTGGCAGCCTGATTGACGGATGACGCTTGGCAGCCAAACATACAGCATGGGCCACATTATCATTCCATGTCTCAATGCAGGCCACAGAAATGAAAATCCTTGTTGCCGTCCTCCCACTGCAACTCATGGAAGCACCAAAGTACTTCTGCGTTTCCAGATCACTACTGCGAAAATGGGAGTAGCTCACGACAGTGGCCCCAAAACAAAAGTCATTTCCACAGGAACTACCCCCACTTTTGTGAATGATCATTTGATCATTGAGTCGCGCCAGCTCTCTCAAAATGGCAATTTCTCTTCGTTCCGCCGTTGTTTCGACAACCTTTGGAAGATATGAAAGGGTTTTATAAAACATACTTTTCGTGGTAGCTGATTTCATACCAGAAATGTATGTTGTATTTGCACCTACTGGATGCTAATTTGCACTTAAT